TCGAGAGATGAGTCACAGGTCGTAAAACACCATTTGGCCCAGGGGATTTCTGAAAGAGGGTGACCCGTTAACACCGGGACAAATCCATCTCTCTTCTTCCAGTGTCAAAACACTTCACATCAAAGCATCTGTTTTCCCAAAGATTACAATACTTCCGAATAACATTTGTTAAAGGTTACATTTCACAAGGATTGCGTTAATTAAAGCTTTTGCATACAGTAGGTTTATTTATGTCAGTCTTGACTTGGTTGATTTGCCTCTACAGTGCTTTTTTCCCTTTGTTAAATCCCTCCTCTGCATGGTGCCCAAATGTATTCACTAAATGTGTCACGCGGTCAAAGAGTGCCTCTTTATTGCACGGGTAAAACATCTCTTCTTTCAGGCAGTCTGTGCTTTGGTGTCCTCTTCCCCATCAACTCTCCACGCTCCACACTGGAGATAAATGTGCTCTTCTTTTGTCATTTAATTGCTGCTCGTAAGGGAAAACAGATTAGGAAACTGTATACTTAGTAACATCTCTTGACAAGAAAGGTCATACTTATAAACTTAAACATTTCATAATATAGAGAAAAGTATTGAACATAATGATGTTGTAAACAATATTGAAATATTATATATATTTTTCGGAACAATTAAAAAGCTCTTAGCTTATAGTTAAAGGGAATCATATGCATATGGTGCTACACTGAAAGTGTACAGTGTCTTGTTAGATATTTTTGTCTGCTTAATACAGCAGAGTTTCTACAAATACACAGCTAGCGAGAGGGTGTGCCTGAGAGGTGATTAAAGGTCTGTGTGCCTGTTTGTGTGATTGTTTTATGGTAATCCCTTATACTCTACACATTTCATTCGTTTTTAATCTGTTGTTCATGCAGATTTCCTTTCACAAAATTTCCATAAGCAAAAAAAGAAGGTTTACTTAGGTGTGACATGGGATTAAGCTCAAGCTTTTGTAAGCCATTAACAATCTGCCATTGTACTTTTGCATGGCCTGTGAAGTGAAACACTCCTGAAGATGTTTTTAAGAATATCTGCTTTTCTCCTCAATATTTGGAATTCATTCTGAAACACATTTATGGTTAAGGTTTATGGTCTCACTCTGTATATCAAGTTATGGTTGGCAATGGTGGACTTTAGTGATCAAAGTTCTTATTTCTGCTTCTCTATTTTTGTTTTTTTTCCTCAAATTTTGAAACAATTCAATCAAAGTTAAGTGAGGTCGTGTTCGCTTGGCCTTGTAATTTCCCATGTCTATCTCCTTTATAATGTAATAATGTCTTCATGCCTGAGGAACAAAATAATATCTTTCTGTCTGTAAATATTGGTATCTCTCTGCGGTGGAGGTGGATGTGGAGCAAAAATAAAAAGACATTCCTATGACCTTGTTGTTCTCGGCTGCCTTAAGTGCTCTCCTGGGCTCCTGAGGCCCTGATACTGCAGGAAAGGAGTTTGGAGAAAATCAAACAGAAATCAATAAATACACTAACCTCATTCCCCACCCCAATCACAAAAGCCAACCGTTCACAGTTTGTCTCAGCGATTCAGGTCGGTTTTTGCCTGACCTGTATCATAGGCATTCAGTGCATAAGACACAGAGAAACCTACCTCACTGTATAGCTATAGGCTCACTGGGTTAGGTTGCTGTTTTTCTCACCTTGCAGTGATTGCATCAAAAAAGTATCATTCAGAATCAGAATTTCAAAACCACTGCAGGGACCAACTAGTGATCATTTATTCATCAACTTGTCTGCTGATTACCCTCTCAATCAATCAGTTAAATGTTTTAGTATCAGATGTCAGAAAACAAGGGGCAAACGTTTTTTTTCACAGTTACGATGACTAGCACGATTTCTCCAAATCCATTGTTTTCTCACTGACAACAGCAATGATTTTAGGCTGTAAATAGCTGCAGCAGTCAAGTCATGGTTATTGAATGCCATACCCCATTTATTGGCTTTTCTTCACTCATAGTTTAAACTAAATGCAAGCCTCTTATTTTTAAAGAAGCACCTCCGTTATTAACCTCCTGGAGTACAATTTCTGCTAAGAGCACACACTTTAAAATGAACCCTGCCACTGAATATTAATCCATTCAGAATGAATTTGCATTTAGCATTCCTTTATTCTTCACTCACATCACTATTGGTCTGAAAATGTAAGAAGCACTCACTCTAAAGCTCCTGTCAAAGAGTAGTTTAACTTCTCCATTAATGAAAAGAACATTTAAAAGTTGTATGTGCTGACACACTTTCTGCCTTCTGTTTTTGGAAGGAATTCACTTGAGGTGAGATTCATTTTTTATGAATGTGAATTTGTTAGGTATTCATAGAAAGATTAGAAAAAAAAGAAGAAAAATAGAACACATGAAACCTTCAAATATTCCGTTACAAATGCTGATGCACAGATAATAATTAAATCTACTTCTTGCAAAAGCATCCTGAATGTTATCTAAAAAACAAACAACGTATGTAAGTAACTAAGTGGAATAAGGTGTCAAGAACTAACAGGTCACAAAATCAAAATTGTTAACAATGACAAGGAAAGTAGATCTCAATCTTAACAAAAAAAGATCATCAGAAAGCAGCCACATTTTTCTTTTCAAGTCACAATATTACAAAATGTGGCAGAAGTGTCTATTAATGCCTTTTATGGGTAAATGTAGTGCTTTTAATGACCATCCTAAGCATATACTGCTTTCATGCTTGGATCTTTAACATGGGCTATTAGACAGGGGAGTCTACTCTCATTTTGTACATCTTATTCTGCAGTACTGTAGTTTTTGTTTTCTCTCCAATCCTTAGTTATGCAACATTGTATATTTGCATTGTACATTGTATATTAAAGCAAAAAACATTCTGACAAATCAGAATTAGCCAGGGAAATGTTAACGCTGACACTCACAACGTAGCTTTTGTGGGATATATTCTATCTTCACATTAGATTTTTTTATTGATAGCATCTTACTGTAACTGCAAAATTAAACTTGTGAGTGTATGTCTGCTTGCAAGCGTGCACCTCAACATGCCATATGTAGTAGTAGCTGATGAGGAAAGCCAATGAGGATACACAGATGTTCCTCTAGGAAAAGTGCACAAATAATTGATGTGAAACTGACAATGTTGTTTCTGCAGATGACAACAATAGAAAAGTCACTTCTGTCATAGCCAGGACACAGATGGTGAGCGAGATGATTGGCTGAAGTTTAAAAAGAAGCGAGCTGTCTACTAAAAAGAATATATCTTATGTTTGTCTGTCAGTCTGCAAGCCTGATTATCAGATGCTTCGTGTGCGATGTTCCTGTAACTTAACTGTCAGCATCTCACTTTGCTTGAATCTGGAACCTCAGCAAGGGGCGCAGGCCCGGGACTCCGATCTCCCAGGATCTGACAAGAAATGATAACAATCTGAGCCTCTACTCTTGGAGAGATGTCATGAATTTGCCATGGTGTATGAAATGATTTATGGTCTTAAATACTGTAGTGTATATTTAGAGACAGAGAGATGAAACACAGGGTTCAAAGAAGCAGGAATAGTGTGAGGTGTTAAAACACAAGTCTTCGTCATAATAAAACCATTCTTTATTTCTCACGTTATGCACACATGCAACACCCTCTGAATCAACAGTAATTTTCTCCATAAGATAAATAATATGACTTGTGATTAAATGTAGAGTATAGCATCAGATGATTATCAACATGTCATTTATTTATTTGTTGAATTGCATCAAACAACACCTCACTTTGGCAATAGTCAAATGGACACATAGCAATGGAATCGGACAATTAAAGAGCCAATTAAAATAGATTACCTTAAAATAATTGATCCTGTTGAGATGCACTGTACTGTGCTGCAATGTCTTTGAAGCATTGCTTGACATTTAGCATATGCCAAAAGGGTGAAAGTAACAGAAATTGGATGAACATGAGCAGAATTACAAAACATGGTGTATGAAAGGTTAATGAGCCCAGAGAACTAAAGTGGTATCTGTCATGTGAGACTTCCCACTTCTAGAGGAGTGAGATAAGTAACAGAAGACGATCAGCAGGCAGAGTGTGGAACATTCATGGAGACAGATTGTAGGCATCTCAGATGTGTTGCATCACATTTGAGGTGTGAAGACGGGAAAAAATAGTACATGTTTGTTTAGTTGGTGTAGCGGTGAGGTTCCCACACATTATGTCAATTAATTTTCTCTCACTGTTGACAACACACTGACTTATGGGATTATCGGCATGTCTGTGCTTGTATCCTACTATAGTGTTTCATCTGGAAAATACTGAATGTCCTCTTCTAATATCAGAGTAGCACATGATAACAAAGGCCCTACGTAGCTGTGTACGTAACCGGATGTATGATTACCAAGAAGAGCGTCAGGACACACTGTTTTAGGCATATGATAACTATGTGACAACGATTAACATGATGATTCAGCCTCTATGGAGATAGACATACTGTCATGTGTATTGCTCACGCAAGCCTTAGCTAATCTGAACTAAGCACAGAATACTGCTTTGAACCGGTATTCTGCATATTGTGACTGTAACACCCTCTCTTGTATATAAGCATGTGAAGGACATATTTTGTCCCATGCAGCTCTGTATGTGATCACTACTTCCATTCTAGCGAGGATAATAAATACATGTATTCTGATATTGAAGCTCAAGCCGGTGATGAGTGATATTTTCCTAACAGGTGTAAACACAGAGAAACATTTCCAGTGTTAAACAATGTTAATGGAACTCTTTTTTTTTAATCATTTATAGTAATACAATTGCACCTTAAATGTTCAACTATTAATTTGACTGAATTGTGCAGCTTCATCCCTAATAAACACCTCCTTTAAAGGAACCCTATATGTTAGTGTTATGTTACATTACATTACATTACATTGCATTTAGCTGACGCTTTTATCCAAAGCGACTTACAATAAGTACATTATGTTATATGTTTGTTTTAAATAATGAGGTTTCTTTTTAAATCACCCAAATTATCTCTTGCAGGAAAGGCGGCTGTGTGCACACCCATTCCTCGAGATCTACCGAGAGAGTCAGATCCTGTTCATGGCCCCCTTGGCCCGGCAAGACGATTTCTACGTGCGAGAAGTCCGAAAGGCAGAGAGGAGGCTGTCCGAACAAGAGGAATTGCACAGTGACTCAGACGTCTCAGGTACGTGGACTTCTTGCTGTACATAAGAACATAATTGTCTTTTGTACGAACAAGCTCATAGGCTATTGGTGTTCCAAGCCCTGCTAATCTACACAGGACAGGCTTGTGAGTCTTACTGCTGGAAAACATGGGCAGTGTCGCTCAATAACCATTATTATTATATGATGATAATTGGAAATGAAGCTTAGTCCGTCTGTTTGTTTGTCACTTTTGTTACCAAAATGCACCCCTTGAGTCAAATTTGGTAAATGATTATGCCAACAATTGCAGTTTAACTTTTTTTCATTTTGATTAGTGCCTTCTATATTCATGAAACATCTTTAAAACAGATGTCTGCAGTGCAACATTTATGGTTATTCGATTAAGTCAATCCTGAATCAAAGCAATCCCATTTTCCGTTTTTGGCCACCTGACAAATTGAGGTCCAATTTTCTCTCTGTTTTGGCAATGCTAGTGGTTCCAGAAATGAAGTTGATGAGAGCAATAAGAGTGAACCCAAACATCAAAGATGCAGGCCGTAAAACAAGCTGAAACTGTTAGTAACTCTTTGGGGAACTGTGATAATTATCTTCTGTCACAACAACTGACCCTTTTTACTCTTTGTAAGTTTACTACTTTTGAATCATTGTTGCTATAAAAACATTGATAAGTGGTGCTTTAAGCATTTTAATAGCAACCAAGACACATTTCAAAACATTTGAAATGGGCTATAAATACCCTAGAATTATATATAAAAAGCTTTCAGTCAGAAAGTTTTCTCCATCAGTTAAATCTAGTCAGCCACCTTTTCATAGCCATTAGAAAGCAGCATGTTAGGCACCTGGGTTTTGGCTTGGGCAACAAGCCATGGAGATGCTTGGCTGGGACCCAGGGGAATTTGACCCTTTTGCTACTACTGTTTTGTTTATGAGCTGCCCTGCGGAAGCATACTGTGATTGACGCCTTCCTAGGTGTTAATGAAAAGCCCAGATACAACAGCTTCAGGTGCAACTGTGCAGCCACTCACCAGAGGCTGTCCACAGCTATACGGACACCACTGGGAGTCTTGCTTTCAATATTAAAGATTCACTTTAGCACAGTTCTACTTGACATTCATTCACCTTCACGAGATGTAATGCTTGTGAAGGAGTGTTTTGAAGAGTCAATTTGAAGTGAGATGAAGCAAGTCTAATCATGAGTTGTCATGGATTGTGAAAATAAGCCTTTTTGATGATAACAGTCTCTAGCACCTTCCTGCTTCCAGCTGTGTGGCCATTTTGACCATCAATCCAAATATAGCCCAGCTGAGACTTGAAATACACATATACACAGAAATATAACCACATAAAACACAACAATTGACTCAGGGGACAACATGTTACAGTATATATTTAATTATGAACATGTTGTTGAAAGAAGATAGAAAGGGAAACATGTCTCCATGATGACGCACACAATCACAAACTGAAAACAATATCAGCAGCGCTCTTGCGGCTGGTAATGACTCATTTTGCGTGAAAAATTAATGAGTCGGTCACCCCAACACGTGTTGTTACCCTTATATTTGTTTGACCCTTGACATTGGCGTCACATACAGTGCCTTAAAAGTCCATCTGGATCTCCTCTCTTGCCTCAGAGATGAGCTGAATGTGTTGTTGTCACGTTCCCTGCTTCTTTATGTGTCATGGGTGCGGTGCAGAGTGGGAACGGCATCTGAGTCCATGACTGGGAATGGTAATGTGACAGGCAGCCATGCTCCTGTCACAGTAGCATCAACTGGACCAGGTCAGTGGAGCATTCAGGAAACTGGAGGCCTCTTTGGTCCATTGACCCCAAACAAACCCATCTGATCCCCACTACCCCCCCATACCGAGCCTGTGTGACCGGATCAACCCCCAGACTCGTCATTCTTGCCTGCTCACTGTCAGACAGCGATGTAGAAAATCATCATTCTCTAACATTCTCTGAGGATCCACACAAGTGTCAGAGTTGATATATTGCAACATTTCATTCTAGTTGGACTTTAGCAGGTTTACTACAAGTATGTGTTAGTTGTCACCAGAGATATTTAAAGTCTTATGTAGCCAGCCAATGCCACATATCAAGATTTGTCAAAACAAGTATAGAATGAATTCTCAAGTCCGAGTCACACATTTTCTGAATTGTCTCACCATTAAAAATTATTAAAATGACATTTTAAGATTGTCCTCTTAAAGAACAGTTTGACATTTTGGGAAATACATTTGTTGTTATTTTGCTGGATGCGAATATACCAGACTCATACCTGTCTGTTAAATTAAAAGCTGTTGCCAGTAGCTTTTAACTTAAAGGTGGGGTAGGTAATTCACTTCAGAATGCTCTTAACATCCCGATAGCAATGAATATCTTAAATGCTTTGACAAAAAATCCATAAAAAAACGTCATCGGTGGAAGCAGTTTTACTGTAAAAAGCCCTACCAACCTTTTTAGCCGGCCCGGCTAAAATAACTGGATGGCCTACCTGCCTGTCAGCCTTCCATCTGTGCACAAACTTATCTCGTGCCCTCATTGGTCATGTGCGCATTCGTGTGTGTTGGAGGAGGGGCTCTGTAAGGAAGTCTGAAGGAAGGGGCAGATTTTTTCCGGTTGTGTACTTTCAAATTCTAGCGCACTCGAGCTGGTTTCTCCATTCTTACCTACCCTACCTTTAATTTAGCAATAATTACTGTGCAGGGATAAACAGCTACTCTTACCCCAGAAAAAAACATTCTCAAAGATCTACCATTTAACTACCATTACCATTTAGTTATATTTAGTTTGTTTAATCTGTACTCTAACAGCAATGAAGAAAAGACAGATTGTGTTTTTAGAGAGTTACCTGCTATGATATATTTCTTGGCCTGCTGCAGTGACTTCCTCAGTGTCCTCACCCTAAGGTTGCCAGGCAACAAGCAGAGAGTGACCAATTAATAATAGCATGTTAAATAATGCGCTTTTGAAAGGGCTGGTCAGAAGATTCTTTTTAAACTTTGGACACAGTCCGACTGTCTCTCCCTACTTTCAAACATTTTGCTTTAGCTAACTACTTTACAGACATGCGTGATATTCTCTAGCGTATTTTCTAAAATCGATGAACTACTCCTTAAAAGCTCCTTTAGACAACAGTGGACTTAAGCCTTCATATGAGAATGACATTCCTAAAAGGTAAGGGTGAGTTTGCTCATCTTAACCTGCTGAAGTTCTGCAGCAACCATCTCCGTCTCATTCCAATAATCGAAGATGTACTGCCACTCACAGGCATGTAGAGACCAATGCCTGAAGGCGCTATTAAACCCCTCCAATCTAATGCAGCGAAAGTTTCCACCTTAAGAAAATGAGGCTATCATTCTGAATGTCTCTTCCCATCCAAATGGGAATTTTCTTCCCATTGACTGATTTAATTTTGCGTCTTGCTGTAGGCGTTCAACCAGCAAAGGAAAACCAACACGAGACCTAACGTGTGGTCTATTGGAGCTCTGTATGCATATTTTAAATGTTGTACTTCATCTTTTGGCTCCATCAATCTCATGCACCTAGGGTGGATGGGAATTAACCAGGAGGAGCTTGTGCCTGTCATTCAAATATGTATGTTTTTATTTACATTGTTTATGCATATTATAAAGATAAATAAGAGTTATTTATAAAGTGTTCTTTGCGTTGAGCACTGATTTGCATGCCTGTTTTTTTCATGCATGCAACTGTGAAATTCATCATAGTTATAGATGCAGTCGGATGCAATGTTATCATCTGGAATAAATAATATATCATTTAATCAGCTGTGCAATGAACATGCAATTAGTTTGAGTTAGAGCTTCTGTTTGTTCCCTCCTGGCCCCAGTCTCATATTCTTTGTCAACATGATACGATTTCCACTGCAATATCTCTCATCTTTTTCTAATATCATATTGAGGGCATGTGGCACAATGGTGTGCTCCTTAAGCTCTTTTATGTTTTGACTAAGTGCATTACAGCACTACAGCGAGCATAGTGCTTGCTGGGAGTCTCTTAACTTGAGCTCAGAAGTGTGACACTCAAAGCGTGCCTAGAGCGTATAGTTCTGTTTTCTATCTTTGAAGTTTTATAAGGAATAACATTCTTGCTTTGCCGTTCGGTCTCCCAAGAGCTCCTCGCAGTAACTGACCAAGTGAGCAGCAATTTGTATTTGTCGTATTTGTTGTTGGAAATCTATGACTTTCTTTAGGTTACAACAAGTGCTTGGATGAATTTAAGAGGAAATACATTTGTTGATTGTTAGTTGGTGATTTGGTAATTTATTAAACACTTTTGTATGAGCTTAAAGGTCACCTATTATGCAAAATACACTTGTCCACGTCTTTTATACATAAACATGTGTCCCCTCTACGTTTAGAGATTCTGACAGTTACAGGAAAAAAGATTCACTTTTTGTCCTGATCCATTTATATAAAAATCTGTCTGAAAATGAGCTGATCAGATTTTGGCCACTTTATGATGTCATAATGATTTTTTGGGTTGTGTAACCATTAGCCAATCACCAACCAAGGTAACCCCCCCCAACCACCTTATCACCTGAATCTCTTCCTAGAGCACCATTGTGTTCTTTTTAACCAAATATCTCTCAGAGGGGAGTGGCTCCTTATTTTCATCTAAAGTAACAGACAGAGAATCAGCACTTTTGAAACAGGGCAAATTATTGGATGCTACAATGCACAATCTGTTTGGTATTTGGAGCCAAACACTTCAAATCCATGTTTTGTATATATATGTGAACTGTAATATAATATATTGATGAAAAACAGTATAATAGGGGACCTTTAAAGCGTTATACTTTTTCATACATTGTTCCTCAATTGAAATGCATAGCTGGCATCTGTCATTTTGTTAACTGTACAAATCTCAGCTACTTGTCTCATATCATAACCACCTGTACAATGACAAAGCCTGCTTCTGGCATCTGTCCTCAACAAGCTTGCCTAATGTAAGATATCGATCTGAGAGGTGCTTTATGTGGAAGCACTCTCAGCCACACAAAGACAAAAGGTCAACAGAATGGCACACAGGTATGCAGTTGATCCTATTAATCTGCAATCGCACCAAACTTCAAATCACTGTGAAGTCAAGTGATTGGGCTGTTAATCTCCAATTAAAGAGCAGAAGACCTTTAGCTTACAGGAGTTTCTAAGCAACAACATTTCAGTGCCTATTTTGATTCCAGACTTTGAGTTGTAACACCACGTGTTGCTGCTCATCCCATAGTTCATAAACAACCAGAATTGTTTTGCAGTTTAACTTTATTAAGACTGTCTGATGTCTTGTTCACTACGCACTCTAAACTGAATTGAATGTGCAAGATGCAACAGTACTTCTCATGTTCAATATACATTTATGAAAATAACAAATGGATAAAGCATAAGATAAAAACAAGCTGGATGTGTAAGGGACCTGAAATCAATGAATAGCTAAATATATGTAACATGATCGCCATTAACTTTCTAGTATCCACTAATTTAGTGGTTTTTCGGTTTTATTTACCATCGAAAAATATAGTCCAGTTACCATAAACATAAGGCTGAAAGAAAAGATAAAACTTGATAGTTACTGCTAAATTAAATATATTTGTGTTGGCCTATCTTTGACTGAACAGACTTTATCTCAAATACTATTGGATGAATTGCCATCACATTTGGAAAAGGTATTCATGGTTCCCAGAGGATGAATCTTAATGACTTTGGGGATCCCGTGACTTTTCCTTCAGCGCCAACATTAGGTTGACATTTGTGGTTTTGAGTGAAACATCTACACCACTATCGGATGGATGAAATTAATGTTGGTACAGACATCCATGTCTCCCTCAGGATGGATTATAATAAGTCTGTTGATCCCCTGACTTTTCACCAAGTGCCAGCATGAGGTCAAAACTTCATCTCATTTACAGCTGCACTCTATGTTTAGAGCTAATAACCAAATGTTTGTACGTTTGCATGTGTGGTGACTATTTCCACTCAATATCGCCGAAGGATTGGCTAAACTGGGTACACTAATTGGACTTGTGTTATCTCCATTCACGATGAATGCTTCCAATAGGCAAGTTTATTTATTATTTTTCAATACCATTTTATTTATTTTTATTTAGAAAAACGGGATGTGCACAGCTACACGGTCAAAACATCACCCACACCTGTGCCGGTGAGGTCACCTTAATACCCTGTGCCCCATTGCGCCATCTAGTGATCAAAACAAACAACACAAACATACAAATGGGCACAACAGCATGCATACCTAAACATGGTAAACATTATACCTTGTACCTTGTACCTTGTATACCTTGCGTTAACTCTATATCTGTAAGCATGTTGGTATTTTCTAACTTATCATATCTTATTGGCTCCTTAATACTTAATATGCATTTCATTTGAAGTTACATGCTTTACATATATACATGTTTCTCCATGTATTTCCAAATAATTCACCTTCTGCAGTCTGGAGTTAAATAAAGCACATGTTTGTTGAAGAGGAAACTCATATTCTATATTCATATCGCAGCCTAAATACAATCATGCAGATTTTGGTAACATCCCAGCACTGGATATTCTAGGCAGCGTAGCTTTCCTCATGTGGTGTTTGTTTGTAGAAGTCCTCTCACCATCTGTGCACCCCTCCCCCTTCTGTTTTATCACGGCTCTAGGTGCAGACTCCAACAGTGAGTACAGCTCAGGGAGTGGGGTTCTCCTGTCGGACAGCAGGGAGACGTCCCTGGCGGCGTCCTCGGTCCACTCAGTGCCTCTCCAGGATCAAGAGGAGAGAAACTACAATGGAAGAAGCTCCCGGGGAAACTCGTTTAAAGAGCTGGACTGGGAGCAGGAAAACAGAGAAGAGCAACTTCATGAAGACTCCAACCAGAAGAGCCCAGAGGCTCCCGCTCAGGAGTGGTGGGGGGCTGTTGGAGAAGAGGAGTAAAAGTTCAGTGAGGCATATTAGTTCAGGAAAGAGAGGAAAGGATTGAAATGTAAGAGGTTTGGAAGTTACAATTACAAACATGTGTCCCTCTTTGGATCTATGTCCAAAAGGAGAGACTTTACAGGATAAGGGAGGCAGTATTTTGAACACTAAACAAATCCCATGAAAAGAATCAACAATTATTCTGAATGATTTGTCACAGTCCCTGCCTTGAAAGCTAATTATTTACAAAAAAATCAATATTTTTAAAAATAGCTTATGAATTTCTGGTTTCTTTTTTAAATGTTTTATAAAAAGGTACATTTTCTTAAACAGCGCTTTAGTTTTTAGCTAATATTACTCAAACAGCAGTGAATCGTACATTTAATACTAAATGCATTTAGTGAGTACTTCCTACAGCAGGAAAGTGTATTCAGGACCAGCTCTAAAGAAAACTATAGTGACCGTGTTCATTGTAATAAGGGTCACACAGTCCAAAATAAGAAAATATAACCAGATTTATTAAATACTCTTTTAATTACAATTTTAAAATGAAAGTATTATAAACTTCCAGATGTTTCTGACAGAAAAAAAGCAACCACAAATATCCAGAACTTATCCAGGTAGCCTGAGATTCTTGAAACATTTGTACAGAAAGTATGTCTATGTTTGTCCAAATGACAAGGAATGAACTGTTATAAAAACATTTTACTTGAAAAGTCTTTAGTTTGCTGCACTGAGGCTAACCATTACTTGCATTTTAACCATTTTTGTTTCACAGACAAATGGAATTCTGTTACATTTTTAAGGACTTGGCAAAAGACATTGAAGTGACTGTATGAACATGGACCTCACAATGTGATCTATATTTTGTTGCTTGACTTTGTTTTTAAATATTGTGTTTGACAATGTGTTTGTCCCGTTAGAATTGTTCTGTGTATTTTTACAAGCCTGTGCAATTGCATAGCTCTGTTGGTGATGCACATGTTTTGATATAAATGTTACCTCATCTCCAAAGAGGAAAGTGTGAGTGAATGCATAATTGCCTTATTTGTGAACTCCTCCTGAGCCCCTCTGAGATTGTGGACACGATTATGGTGAGTGTGTGGCGTGCTTCCATTATCAGTCAGAAAAGAGATGACAAGGCAAGTGAACTAAACATTAATATTAATTCCAATTACACTGAAAGCAAATAAATCTCTGTGTGACTCTACCTTTTATTTACAGTCACTACACCTGCCCTCTCGCATCCCTAAATTATTCTCACATACTTATTCCCCGCTCATTCTTTTCCTGTTCAGCTGTCTTATTATTTTACTTTCTGCCATCTGCTTTTCTTTGCACATGCTAATTTCTGCTTGTTTTTCTCTCTACTTTTGATATTTTCTCTTCCCCTCTGAAATAAATATGGCAGGTGCATCCTGAAAGACCACCTGATGACCCACACAGCCTATAATGTGTGTCCAGTCATATCAATATCCTTTATCTTCCAACAAACAAGAGATCACAGCTCACCTGGAGGGAGCAGGCAGCTCAAAGGGATGAGCATGTGTTTTATCAAGAGGAAAGCCATATATGGTAGTTTCCAGTGCTTCTCAAAGTGTGGTCCGCGGACCACTGGTGGTCCGTGAGCGCCCCCTAGTGGTCCGTGAGTATATTGGTAAAATTTCACATTTGAAATAAATAAATAAATTTAAGTTTTCCGCACTCTCGCAAGAATATCTCAGCAATGGAGCGAGGTTAAGTTTCAATTGCATGATATTGCCCAGCGCAAAGCCTTCATCACACATGTTTCCACTTGTTTGTACCATATTCAGGCGATTTGTAATCTGTTCTAGAAAAACGATGTGTTTTTATATATTTGTGGAGTTAGGTGGTCCACGAGTGTTTTTTTATTGGTTAAGTGGTCCTTGGTATGAAAAAGTTTGAGAAACCCTGAGAAAGCCATTGCTTATCTAAGCTAAGATATGTTAATTTGCATTCTCCAGGTTTTCACTTGGACAGAAATGAGTAATACTTGAAAGCTTTTGTCGGTCCTTCGCTTTACTGTTGCACGTTTGATATGACTAAAAACACCACCAACAAGACTCTCTTTAAATATAACTGTGGCCTTACATTGATAGATAAACTGTCATCCTGCAAAGGCTACACAAAGAGGCTGTTAAGCCCTTAGGGAAGAGACTGTATTTTATACAAGAACTAAAGCTATTAAAGATGTGATATTCTGTCTATGAGTTTGCATTTACAGCTATTATAAATGCACACTCATTATGCATTAATAGATATTAAAATCAAGATATTCATTAATTCAGCTCTTTTAGCTCACTGAGGCTCTTAGGTGCGTATCCATTTAGAGATCTGTTTATGAGTTATCTTTAAAACTTGAGAACAATTTGGACAGTACTAAGTTATCCGGATAAGCCAGTAAACCTTATATTTGACCAGTAAGGATGTTTTTTTGTCTGAATTTCTTCAGTGTGGTCTGATACAAATGCATTAGGGATATTTAACTACCCAACTCTTCTATCAATTGCTTGTTTAACTATGCAACTCCACATGGAAACCTTTAAAAATAACAACTTGTTACAGAATCACTCATTCATTTTGTTCATCTGAATTGACCTTGCCTCAGAGACCTAATTGGCCGAATGCTGAGCTTTTACCTGGCAAATGTTCTACAAATCAGATGATCTAGTGGGCGTTTACATCGGTAATCTAAATGCTGATTGCTCTAAAGATCGGCTTACATTCCCACAGGATAAAGTTAATGGAGATGAATGAGCTTTAAGAGTATAAGAGTGAAGCTCCGAGATGCTTTTTGTATGTATGTAAAACCTCTCGGATAGCTGTGGTGGTACTCCTCTCTTTCTTACATGTACATAATGGGGTCACCTGCTGATGCTGATCTGTGAATTAATTGTAGGCTATGATATTTATTGTGCAAACAGGTGGTGCATAGGGAATCCAAACATAGACTTAAACCTTGACTTAAATACGGCATTATTGGTATGAAACAGTTATTATCTCAGCGGGTAAATGATCAGGGCTGGTCGTGCCCTTGCAGTTGGGAGGGTATTAAAGAGTTGTTTTGGTTCAATATACCTTGTTTGTTATTGTTAAGGATCCTTCAATATTCACACAAGTAATAGTTGTGATCTGAGAGGTGTTGTCATCACCAAAATGGATTAGCTATTTTCTATGTGTCCGAATGCTTGTTTTGTTTTAGCAATGTTAAGCTATTTGTTGTGTTCCCAGCAATACCTTAATGATACAATGGTGTCATATTGTAATACAACAAAATCATCCTCTAAGCAACAATGAAGACTTAGGGTGGAAAGTTGAAGCTGCCACAGAATCGTGAAAAAGCAGGTTAATGAAATGTATCAAAATACAGAAATATGACTCGGAAAAACCTTGCAATATACAGATTTTGGTATCTGTCTTGAAATCTTTAATACAAAGCAGTAGTTCTAATAAAAGCCAAGATGACATATTTACATACTTTTGAGTCTCAACAAAACATAAACACAACAGAGAGACACTAAATTGTTGATTTGAGACCGATTGTTTTGTCATTATGCATTACCATCTAACCATCAGAAGCCCACAAAGAGGGCAGCCGTCAGACTGATGGGTGCTGACCACTGGCTAGAAACACTTTGTTTCTGTCCTCTATAATTTCACTCGACATTAATTAGCATGTTCCTATCTGAACTTCGCATTCCACCCACATGCTTTCAACTATTGTAATATAAGCTACAATTCTATTTCAGGAGGAAATTGGTCCCTTTGTGTTAAGTGAGGGAATTATGCAAGCAGGACCCGGTCGTCATTTTAATTGCCTGTGTACACAGAGAAAGTTCTTATTTTCCCAACCTCTAACCACAAAGTATTGATAGTGTTGCTATGGAGCATTTGAAAATGGTGAGATGTTTTTTGTAGTGTGGGTGAGAGGAGGGTGGCAGCGAGGCGACAATGTGGGGAAAGGTGGTGGTGCTTCAGTGTGTGAAGATGACAGAGAAGGTGAGCAATGAAGCTAAAATAAATCTGAATGAACTTCTTGTTTTTGCCTGAATATTTCCAGATTGAATTGTAACTAGTTGTGTTGTGGAGAACTGGACACATAACCCAAACTAGTGCAGCAGACCTTTTTTCTGCACTCCTCACTAATTATGCAACAGGAATGTTGCTGATGTAATATTGTTTTTGATGAGGAAAGGAAAGTGCAGTTTGTCACATCAAGTACTATCTTTGCTGAATGATTTGCTAGAACAGCACATGGTAGTTCACCTTAGTGAGACTTTGAAGTTTCACACTGCTGGCTGTGCTTTTAAATAATAAATACATGTCGCTGAATCAAAACAGTGGGTTTTTTCATGGTTATTTTGTGGCAACACTTTTGGACGAATTTGCTCTTTTCTGTATTGATTCAACCTTGAGCTCAAGTAGGCCTTCATTCTATGGACTACACTGCAGATTAAAGGATGTAAACAATTTAGCTTTCGAGTTTTGTTTGTGTGGGATTTTTCAGCCTTTTCAGTAAAAAAACAACTGTGCAAGTTCCCTCTTGAGTTTGTGAAGTGCCACTCATCTGGAGTGCTATTCAATTTTAATGAGATGGAGGTGAATGAGGAGCTAGTCAGTCTTTATTGAGGGGGAACAAGTTGCTAATTTCCGAAAATGCATTTTCCTAAAAGAAAAGCTATGCATTTGTTGTGTATTGGGATTTTTTAAAGAGGGTTAGAGGTTATCATTAAAAGTTAGGTCAACATCATACTTTACAAGATCTGTCCCCAAAGTGTTAAAAAAAGACCATGTGATAAAGGATGTGTGCTTTTAAATAATGCACTTTCGTCATTGTGTTCATTATTTACCCCTTCATACATCCAGCACACGTTTTTATTCAGTATTGTTGAGTTGTTCGAATGTTAGTGGTGTGAGTGCCTCGCAAACAAACGCTGTGTGAAGCACAGGGAGGATTCTGCAGCGTCCACTCGTTGCACTCACTAAAGCTGTGGAGCTGCAGAGAGCGGCTGCATGCGCGGGAGGATTCCTCACAGCTCTTGTTTTGAAGTTGAATTGATTCACTACCCGACGAGAAACGACTACACATAGGATATTTAATGCAAAACAAAAGTGAAATCACAGGTTAGTTTAGATACACTTGTCTCTCAGTCCAGGCAGTCACATAGGCTTTAGAGGAGAATCCGTCGCCCATCATTACTATCGATGCGAGTGGACACATGAGCATTGGGCGGTGGGCTGTATAGCTCCGGTCTGAAGGCTTGCTGTGCACACGGTGGCTGGCAGGCACTAAGTTGAAAAGCACCGAAGGAGTTTGTCAGACTTCGCCATTGTGAAAACACTTCAGAACCAAGGACAGATCCAAACCGCTGCCTGGCAAACATGCTCAAAGTGAACAACATCTGGACTCCGCTTGTCACTTAAAGCTCTGCACGTTGTATTGTCGCTCGACTGGAAAAGAGACCTGCAGATAAATCCGGCAAGATACATCTAGTGCTACTATAAGGTAAGACATGGTCACTTAATAACTTCGAATTTAACATAGTAGTATGATTTCCCCACGTACAGAACACTCTTTGTTTCAGTATTTGCCTGTCCCACATAGCTACCTATGCATGTTTAATGTTGTTCTTCTTATAGTTAGATTTGATGCAGAATCCAACAACCTTAACTTTACTGTAATTAAATCCATTATAATACAATTTGATATATTTTCCCCAACATGTGCATTTTTGAACAATATGCACAACCAAAGAATATATCTGAACTTTACCCATTAGTGTTCTTCACAATAAGACATCCAACACCAGTGTGACTGCATAGGTTGGGATACATATGTGAAGTTGTTATAGGCAATTAAGCAGCACAGTAACAATTGTCTTCAAAATTATTGCTTGTTTTCCTTGAGCCAATCAGAGCTTTTGTTTTCAGACAGTTTAACAATGTTATGGCATCCGGCTGTGTGAGTAATTGTTTTCTTCAGTTTGCAAGATTCACGAATGGTATAATCTGATTTGGCATAATAGACAAACCCACAATCCCATGCATCAAATAGCTGATAGATCACACAGGATGTGATGGAGCGGGATTTCTCTCAGAGGTGGACAGTGATAGATTGATTATTATACGTTACTGTAATGCCACCAACTGTCTGCATGAATTAGATTACCATGTTATCATTAGATGGTG